TGCTGGCAAATAGAACTGCCAACTCCTCCCTCTCTACTTCGCAGGTGAGAACCTTCTTTTGCAGTCTTGGTCCAGCATCAGGGTGAGTGGCAGTATCCTGGAGACTCCCTAGTTTGGCCAGTCCTCCCTGCCCTCGGACTCTCCTTTTCCTGTTTTTCTCCACTAGGTTAGGATCCTACGTATGGTTTTAACAAAGGTTGCACTTCCCATCCAAGGAGGCTTTGTTTTTACAGAGGGGAAAGACTGAAGTTCAAGAGCCGTTAAAAACAAGCGCCCTCATACAGCTACAATGTGGCAGGGCTGCCGCCAGACCCCTACTTCGCAGCCTTCTGATCCTTCCATTCTGATACAGCTGGGAATATCTTTCAGCGCCGTGATTCTGGGAGCTTCCTTTTCCCAGCACAAAGCTGAGATCTGCGTCTCAGCTGAACGGACTCGCTTGCAACTGCTCACGGGACACTGGTATCCAGAAGTGAGTCTTTCACCTGGCTCTTTGTAAATTGTAGCCAACTTTAACAGACTTAGCAGGGGCAACATGCGCTTTGGGGGCTTTCCTCTTTTATCCCTCAAACCCTCACACCCGTTGTGGCTGCCTCAGAGCCAGCTTGTAAACCCCTTCCACCCTGTTCTGTCTTAGCGACAAAAAACGGCTGCATGTACAGCTTTACCAACAGCAAAAGTACAAACACTTCCTCCTCAGTTTTCCTTGCTATTTATAGTTTTAGTCCTACGCTGGGTTTTCTTTGGCTTTAACTAGCTGTTATCTAGGTCAGCTGACCCGTGCCCTCCGATGTGAATCCTGCAGCTTTAATTAGAGACCGCTCATTCCATCTTTGTCCCATGCTCTCTTTTCTCGCATTGCTTCTTGGCCGAAGTGTTGCTGGAGATTACTGTTTTCTTTCTACAGTGCTGCTCTGCGTGAGTTGACAGAAGCCAACTAGGAAGGGAGGGAAAGGGGGGAACCAAGTCTGTATGAAGGTCTCTGGGGAGGAGGGGTAGGCCAGGGAGACTTGGTGGTTTATTCAGATTATCCAACGATTCAGGCCATTTTAATAGTACACTTTTCAGCTTTTTTTTTTTTTTTAAGATTTTATTTATTTATTTGACAGAGAGAGAGACAGCGAGAGCAGGAACACAAGCAGGGCGAGTGGGAGAGGGAGAAGCAGGTTCCCGCTGAGCAGGGAGCCCGGTGTGGGGCTCGATCCCAGGACCCTGGGATCACGACCTGAGCTGAAGGCAGACGCCCAACAACTGAGCCACCCAGGCGCCCCACTTTTCAGCTTTCTGTCCTCACTATCGCAGTAGGTAGATATGGGGGAGAAAAATGGGCTGTTTTCCACAGTAGGTCAGTAGCAACCCTCAAGAGAATGCAAGTAGGAATATAAAACACCTGACCAGGAAGGAATTCCAGGTTCACCTCCAGGACCCTCACAGTTCTCATGAGGAAACCAAGGTTCCCAGAGACCAAAGAATCACTTTTAGCTTCCATGGCCATTTCCTAGCGAGTCTTATCCAGCCTAACTAGAACCAAGGCAGAAGAAGGAAACGCACATGTGGGTGACTCCGTGGCGGGGTGGGTTGCAAGCCATTTTGAGGTGATGGTGAAGCAAAGCCTGCAGCGGGAGCCTGCCTTTCTAGTGCGACCTGAACCAGGGGACAGGAACAGTCTTGAACAGGAGAAGCCCTGAAAGCTGAATTTACTACGGCTGCATGTAGGTCTTGTTCCAAGTCAGCCCTATGGGTACGTACTATTCTAAACACTACATATTTTAACCTCCCGCAAGCCTCACAGCAAGGGAGGGAGACACAATCACTATCTCCGTGTTACAAGCAAGGAAATGAAAGCACAAGTTCATTGCTGTCCTAACACTCTGCCTCCGAACCAAGAATATAGTTCAAAAGAGGAAAAGTGATCTACAGGAAGACATCCACGACATGGTTGCTTCTAAGAAGAAGAAGCTGAACATGAGCTAAACATCTAACCGTTGAAGAGTGATTAGCTCCACAGAGTACAGATCAGTGGAATACAATTCGAACTATTAAAACGATCACTGTAATAAACCAGTTGTGGTGTGGAAAGTCGTTCATGACATAACGTTGGGAATGGTGCAAGGCTATGTACCTGTCTCTGCTGTGGTTTAGATAGCCATGCCTAGAAGAGAACTTGGGAGAATGGAAAGGTAATGTATTCAAATGGGACACGTGATGTCCTTTGGATTTTTTTTTTTTTTTGATCATCACACTACTGCTTGTGCAATGAATGAAAAAATTTTCTCCTTCATCTTTGTAATTCTATAACCAGTTGTTGGTGGCCTAGCAAAGATTTCTGATAACTTTATGTTCTCTCCACCCCCCAGTTATCTAAGATTTCCTACTTTATTGTTCCTCCTGTTTTGTAGGCCTTTGATATAAAGTAGGTGAGAAACGATAGAAGGAATAATAAGTGACCGTGTTCAGATAAAATAATAATAAAGCTTTATCTTGAAAGTTGCCAAGTAAGTTATTACCTAGTTCTGGTACATATTTGATATGCAAACAAATATATAGAAAACACTACTTGTAGCTTACTAGCTCATACCGCATATCCCTTTTCACAGTTGTTTTTTTAAGATTTTATTTGTCAGAGAGAGAGAGAGCACAAGCAGGGGGAGCGGCAGGCAGAGGGAGAAGCAGGCTCTGCTGAGCAAGGAGCCTGATGCAGGACTCGATCCCAGGACCCTGGGATCACAACCTGAGCCGAAGGCAGACACTTAACCGACTGAGCCACCCAGGCATCCCTTTTTTCACAGTTTATAGACCAGACAGGAAGGTTACCTGTTCTAAATCATATGGGAAGGTGTGAATGCAAGCTGGTGCAGCCACTCTGGAAAACAGTATGGAGGTTCCTCAAAAAGTTGCAAATAGAGCTACCCTACGACCCAGCAATTGTACTACTGGGTATTTACCCCAAAGATACAAATATCGTGATCCAAAGGGGCACGTGCACCCCAATGTTTATAGCAGCAATGTCCACAATAGCCAAACTGTGGAAAGAGCCCAGATGTCCATCAACAGATGGATGGATAAAGAAGATGTGGTATATATATATATAAAATGGAAGCCATCAAAAAATGAAATCTTACCATTTGCAACAATGTGGATGGAACTAGAGGGTATTATGCTGAGTGAAATAAGTCAATCAGAGAAAGACAATCATATGATCTCACTGATATGTGGAATTTGAGAAACAAGGCAGAGGATCATAGGGGAAGAGAGGAAAAAATGAAACAAGATGAAAGCAGAGAGGGAGACAAACTATAAGAGACTCTTAATCTCAGGAAACAAACTGAGGGTTTCTGGAGTGGTGGGGGGTGGGAGGCATGGGTGGCTGGGTGATAGACATTGGGGCAGGTATGTGCTATGGTCAGCGCTGTGAATTGTGTAAGACTGTTGAATCACAGACCTGTACCTCTGAAACAAATAATACATTATATGTTAATTTAAAAAAAAATCAAAAATAAATAAATCATACAGGAAGGGATATAGAGAGTGCTCTGCCGTCCTTCCCTTCCTTCCATTCACCTTCAATCTACCTTCACTCCACTGTGGAATCTAGTTAATCCTTTTCTGAGCTGAGTTTCTTCTTAGCTGTTAGAAAAGGAATAGCTACAGGGGCGCCTGGGTGGCTCAGATGGTTAAGCGTCTGCCTTCGGCTCAGGTCATGATCCCAGGGCCCTGGGATCGAGCCCTGCATTGGGCTCCCTGCTCAGTGGGAAGCCTGCTTCTCCGTCTCCCACTCCCCCTGCTTGTGTTCCCTCTCTTGCTGTGTCTCTCTCTGTCAAATAAATAAATAAAATCTTAAAAAAAAAAAAAAGGAATGGCTACACACCCATATGCACTGCAGCATTATTCACAATAGCCAGAGGTGGAAGCAAACTAAATGTCCATGGACAGATGAATGAATAAAGAAAATGTGGTATCTGCATACAATGGAATAGTATTCAGCCATTTAGGGAAAAAAAAAAAGGAAATCCTGTCAGACACTTAAACATGGATGAAACTTGAGGGCATTTTGCCGAGCGAAATAAGCCAGTTACAAAAAGACAAAAACTGTACGATTCCACTTCTCTCTAAAGGAGTCAAGACTCACAAAAACAGAAAGTAGAATGTGATCACCAGGTGCTGGGAGAAGGGGGAAATGGGGAGCTCAGTGGGTATAGAGTTTCAGTTCTGCAAGACAGAAAAGTTCTAGAGATCTATGCACAACGATATGCGTGTAGTTAACGGTACTTGCCGTACTCTCAAAAATGGTATGTTTTAGATGTGTTTTTATCACATCAAGAAGAAAAGAAATGGCCACTTTCGCAGAACCAAACCACCACTTGAATTCTGTCCTTTTAATCCTTCCCATCGAGGTGTGGGCAGCATCGTCCATCATCCCTTTTCCTTCCGTTGACATGTCTGGGTACATCTTTGCTCAGATCCTCCAGCTGTGCCCTGGTCTTGGTCTTCCATGAAGAGTCCTCCTCTAATAGGGGAAGAAAATAGATGTGAAACCTTTCTTCTGTAGATCTAAGGAAATTATCTGTCAAGTGAAAGGCAACTTATCAGATATTAAGTGACGAGAAAATCTCCCTTCCTTAACCACCGTGCCGCGGCCGGAAGAGCGGAAGCCCCTGTAGGCTACTTTGAGGGTCAAGAGGAGGTGGGTGGCCTCAGTCCTGAGCAGTAATGCAGCAGTACCCTCCATAGCCGCTAGGTGGCGCCCCTGCCCCACACCTGATTTCCGGCAGGCTTTCTGACTTCTAGCAGGAATTGCGGAGACCAGACAAACCTGGCCTCGCCACTTTGTATTCATCACTAACAGATCCACCGCGGCAGACGTGACAGCTCTTCCTTTCTCACGTGGCTTATTCTCATTTTCAGCATCGTTCTTACGCCGTCCTTACTTCGCAACAGGTCTTGTCTCTTAACCAAACTGATGTTCCTTAAAGGCTGAAGCTGCCTTGCTTCTTCCACAGGCTTGGGCTGCGATGGGAGAAGAGGTGGCCAGAGAGCGCAAGACAGTGGGTAGGAAGAAGAGAGAAATGGAGAGAATGGATGTTTACTGAGGAGCCGGAGAAGGAGAAAACTTAAGGTAGGTTTAGGACCCTGTGTGCAGAAATAGAGGCAAGAACAGGAGGGACGAGAAGCAGATTTGAGTGGCAGTTCGGCTGCAAGAGGAAACCCAGGGGGCGAGAAGCTCTTGGCAGTTACAGCAGCACTCATGCGGGGGTCCTCCTGAGGTGTCATCCTCGTGCCAGTCTCAGCACCAGCACTTGGAGCTGGGTCGCCCCAGGGTCAACCCACAGAGCCACTAATGAAGCTTTGCGGACATGTTCATAGGGGCACGGGCCTGAACGGTGTGTCATCACGGCCACAGTACAGCCCGGACCCAGCAGATGACCCTTTTCTTGTGAGGATTCCAAAGCCTGTGACTAATACTAATTAACCCTGACTCATTGTAACACTGAGCACAAAGAGGTCATTGTCTCCACTGAATCCAGTGGGGAAACTGACGTGTGGAGTGGGGAAGCAGCTTTGCTCCCTTAGTGGCACCAGGCCACGAGTTTATCACAGCCCAGCTCAAATGCCCTTGAAGCTGCCCTTGATAATCAGGAGCAAACACTTCCTTTTTTTTTTTTTTTTTTTTAAGATTTTATTTATTTGACAGAGAGAGACACAGCAGGAGAGGGAACACAAGCAGGGGGAGTGGGAGAGGGAGAAGCAGGCTCCCCGCCGAGCAGGGAGCCGGATGCGGGCCTCCATCCCAGGACCCTGGGACCATGACCTGAGCCAAAGGCAGACGCTTAACCATCTGAGCCACCCAGGCGCCCCAGGAGCAAACACTTCAATGGGCTGTCCAGATGAGGAGAGTGGGGACCTTTCCTCAGTGCTGTTTCCACGTGTGCTAGACCACAGAACTAGAAACTTCCAGTTGCAAAGACTCCTTGGCCCAACGCCCCTCCACCCCCTGATAGTGAGCAATCCGAAGGCCAGAGAGACAGTCAAGACCACGCCGTGGGTGTTGTGAGCGGGCCAGGCCTAGAATCCTGAGGTTCTGCGTGCAGGCCCCCTGTACAGCCCCCAGGGCAGCAGAAGAGAGGCAGGATTGTACGAGTTACACGCATGGGCTTCAGCTCGGCAGCCTGGGTTCAAATTCTGGTTTCACTGGTTACCAGCTGTGTGCTTCCAAGCCAGCTACTCTGTGCCCCAGTTGCTCCATCTATAAAATGAGGCTTGTGCTGGTCGCTACGTCACAGGGATGTTTTGAGAAGCAGAGTAGATACGTAAAGTGCTCAGTAAATAGTAGGGATTTTTAAAAATATATTATTTAAATAAGGCAGGTACCACACTCCTTAGCTGCACACCCGACCACTCAGCTACCCTACTGGCTTCAACCCAATCGTCCCTCTGGCCGTTTCTCCAGTTTGCCTGGTCTTCTGGGTCTCCTGAGGGAAGGGAGCACTGAAAGAGCAGGTGTTGGGCTCAGGAGAAAGAGACACACCAGAATTTCTGCACATTAGTCTTGCTCTGGGGAGGCTCTTTCCACCCAGCAGCCTCCGTGACATCATCTGACAACGCAGGTGCTGCTGGCTCAGCTCCAAGCCCAGTTCTAGAAGCAAAAAGAAGAATCTTGGGCAACAAGATACAGACCAAGATAACCGCATTCCTGCCAATCTCCTTGGGCCCTGGCTCCAGGCCTGGCAAGCCCACCCTCAGAAGGTGGGGGTATAATGATGACAGGAAAGCTAATTACTGTCATCACCCTGCTGGGTTGAGAATACTGGCTTGTTTGTCCAGCATGGCTTACCTGAGTCATCCATCCTGTAGCCTAGAGCCACCTGGGCCTGGACCTGGACCAGCAGGCTGCCAGGAGTCTGGAACAGCTTCTCCCTGCCGAAGCTGGCAAGTGCCCGCACTTCCTCCTTGTTCTCCCCTCAGAGAGCAAGTCGAGGCACTTGGGCTCTGGAGACACAGCTCCAAACTGCGCGAGGAGCCTGGCCCAGGGCTCCTTCTGGGGTGAGCGGAACCAGAGGGGAGGCCTCACAGCCTCCGGAAAAGCACCTCCACGGGTCAGAGATGAAGCCAGGAGTTAGAGAACTGCCCGGGCAGCAGCTTCCTTGCCGCCTCCATGCCCCCCCACCCCCATCAGCCTCACCGCTGAGGGGCCCCCTGTGCCCCGCTCAGGGGGTCCCCCCCGCACTCCCCAGGCCAGCCCTGCAGGCCAGCAAGCCATCTAGGCTCAACTCCCACTAGCTCAACCTGGGCTTTGTTCCAAAGTAAAACAAAGAAGAAAATAGGTGCTCTCTTTCACAAAAATATTTTAAAGCTGGAACTGGGAAATACTTTTTCAAAAAGTATCAAAAATTAAGAACGTGAGTCCCCTACTCCCTGTCTGACTCACGGAGTAAGGGAACCAAGAAGGTTGGGACAGAGAAGAGATGTGGGCCCCTTCCCTTGGGCCTGAGGAAGAAGTTTACAGCCTTGAGGTGATTTCCACGGTAAGGACCAGCTGTGGCGCCCCTGGTAAGGGGAACCCGAGAAGGCCAGATGGGGACACCTGTGGGTGGGACAGCACACACAGGAAGCAGGGTTTTAAGGCAACAATCCCAGAGGCCTTGGCGCGTGGCTCTCTCGTCCAAGAAAAAGAGCAAAAGAGCCCCATAAAACAAAGCACAGGCCCAGAGGCCAGCTTCCCCCACCCCGGGGAAGGGGGGACCTGAGTGGTGGGGTTACCTCAGGCCCCGCCTCTCCACAGCTGTGGCTACCGCTCGGCTCCCTCTCTCCCTGCAGCTCCCCAAGTAATTGGGGGTTTGGCAGGAGTACCTCCTGCGGTGCAATCTGTTCCCCATTAAAGCCTCAGCAGTCCTGGTGCCACCCATCGCCCCTCAGGCTTTCTAGTTTGGCAGGACGGGAGGCTGATGACAGATTATCCCCGGAGGGAAGGGAGAGGCAAGTCAGGAGGGTGGAGGAAGACCCAGTTCTGGCCCTGCTCACTAGAACATGACCTCAGTGTCGTCACTGCGGGCTTTCGGGTGAACCTGCCCGCCGAGGCTGACTCGCGGCCCTGACCGCTCCGACGGCCTCCTAAAGGATATTGGGGCTCCTGGTCGTGGGCTTCACCTCACGGGGCTCAGCCAGGCGCCGTCCCAGCTCCCAGTGCTCTGGACCCTGTGACTCCAGAAAACTCTTCCTCATCACCGCATATTCTGAGGGAAAATTTGGGACGTGTGATCCAACAAGGAGGACTGAGTGCTTAAAAATACGGCAGTTTAGAACTGCCCTGGGAGACATGAGACACATAATCTGTGTGTGCCTGGGGCTGTGCAGGCCCGAAGTACTGTGGTTCAGGGGACGACGGGGCCGCAGTGGGGAGCCTGGCCATCCCAGTGGCCCCAGCACTGCGTCACCCTGGAGACCTGGGCCTAATCAGTCTCCATTTCAGTCTGTCCAACGGGGTAGTAATAAGTATCTAACTTGTTCAGAACTTCCTGATGATGCCAAGAAGCCTCTGGGAAAATTTGGAAGTGTCTGTCTGTCTCTGTCTCTGCCTCTCTCACAACCCCCGCCCCCCAACAGGAGCTGCAAGGAGTTACAGAAGGACTTGATTTGGGGGTGAGAGGTGCTACCACAAGGACGGGGGTGGGGTGCAGGCAGCAGCTGGTTGGTGTCTAAGTCGAGAACAGGGAAACAGCAGAAGTGAGAGATGACAGTGGAAAATCAAGGACCAAGGAAAAAACCCTGAGAAGTCAGGCTGAGAAGTTCAGGGGCTGTGGTTTGGAAGAAGGAGGGGTATCAGATGCTGCCCTGGGCAGAGGAATGTGCTTTCCCTCAGCAGCTGAGGTTTCCCCTTCTGAGATGCGTGCAGACCTGACATCAGTGCCCAGCCTGCCCACTGAGGAAAAGGATGTTTGGGCACTGGGCTGGGCCCCGTCTCCGAGCACTACCTGCTAAGCCAGAAACAAACAGCAGAACCCTCAGACTGCTGGGCGCTGATGTCATAGCTGCCACTCGCTCTGCAGGACAGTAAGTGGGCAAGTAAGACAATCCTTTGAGAATTCTGATTTTTTTTTTTAATATTTTATATATTTTTATTTTTAAAGATTTTATTTATTTGAGAGAGAGAGAGAGCACGAGTCAGGGCAGGGGCAGAGGGAGAAGCAGACTCACCGCCAAGCAGGGAGCCCGATGTGGGGCTCGATCCCAGGACTCCGGGATCATGACCCGAGCCGAAGGCAGACGCTTAACCGACTGAGCCACCCAGGCACCACTTAAGATTTTATTTTTAAGTAATCTCTACACCCAATGTGAGGCCTGAACCCACAGCCCTGATATCAGGAGTCACATGTTCCACCGACTGAGCCCACCAGGTGCCCTGAGAATTTTGATTTCTGCCCCTTTGACTGCCCAGGTGGGAAATTAGTGCCACCCAGGGTCCCCAGGTCTCTCAGGGAGTCCCAAGAGGGTGCTTCATGTGCGTTCTCAAGCCAGTCTGTCATGGGGCAGCCAGCCTACATCAGGTTCGGTGTCTCTGCCTTCAGCTCCCACTGGCTGACCACACATACCCCTAAGCCACTTGAGGGAGCCCAAACTGCCATGCTTCTGGGTGCCCCGAGAAGTCGGGCTCTCTGTCTGTGTGGGGATAATGCCCCTCACCCCGATTCAGTGCCAAGCATTGTCAGTGTGACCCAAAGCTGCAGGGCATGGTCCAAGTCTCCCAAAGCCATTCGTGAACAATTTGGTTAATCTTCTGGCCCTTGTCCTCAAACCACAGGGGTGGGAACCAAGACCAAGGATCTGCTGGGCAAGAGACCTCTTCCTCTCCACAGTCCTCTGCCCTTGTCCCTCAGCCCCCTAAGGCCAACTTAGCTTCTGGGAGTCAGGACACATCCAACATCTCCATTTCAGAAAAAAGCCCTTCCTTTCTATTTCCATATCTACAGTACCGATTTTAGGGCTTTTTTCCCCCTGAAACAAAGGAACTGGGTGACCTTGAGGCATACTGAAGTTTTGTACAGGAACAGCTTTCTAATGAGAAGCTGATTTTGACTGTTCCCCAGGGCTTTGAGAATCTTAGGCCTGAGATTCTTCGGCGCACACAACGTTACATAAGGCTGTGAGAAATGAAGAAGAGGAAGCATGCGACTGAGCCCTGAAAAATGTGAAATCATGGGTCAGCTGACTTTCAGCTCTTAGAACTTCTCAGCTACTTCATCTGCTCCACGTTCCTGTATTCCCAGGGCTCAGCTCCATGCCTGACCCAGACAAAGTGCTTGGGAAGCATGTGCTTCGTACGCGAGCCAGCAGCCGTTGGTGGTTGCTGCAGGAGTCTGGAGGCTGAGCTCTCTTTGTCTTGCCAAGTGGACAGCGTGCAGATGAGGGCTTTCGTTGCGGTCCCTTGAAGAGCCTGCTTTGACAGGGGTCTGGAAGGCATGCTCTGCCCTCCCCACCTTGATGAGAAGAGGGCAGAGCAGGTGGGAGGTGGAGGGGGAAGTTAGCACAGGGCAAGAAAGGGGAAATGTGGGGCTATGTTTAGGCTGAGAAATGAAGAGGGGCCGGGTGCCCCTGCCGGCGTGTGGTCTGACTTGTAACACGGCACACACCTACGTAGTTCCTCTCTAGCTCGTCTGGTGTCCTCAGCATGGGGTAGGTGCAGGAGAGAGCTTCTGGGCAAGTACTTGGGTTTAGCTTTTGTTGTTGTTGTTGTTTTTAAGATTTTTTTTTAAGTAATCTCTACACCCAATGTGGGGCTCGAACTCACAACCCTGAGATCAAGAGTCGCGTGCTCCACCGACTGAGCCGGCCAAGTGCCCCATTTAGTTTTTATTAAAATAAAGGTAACTAGCCTAGCAAAGAGCTTTATCATTCGCAAAACTCTCAGAAGTGCATCATCTCACTGACCCTACAACAACTCCATAGAATTAGGTAAATGGACATTAGCGTCCTTTCACAGAAGAGAAAAGTGAGAATTGCAGAGTCAGTAAATGGCATAAGGACCTGGGCGTATCCAACTCAGGACCCTGGACTCTTTCTACTATAGTTTATTTTTTATTGATTGCATCACTACTATTAAAACACTATAACAGGGGGGCGCCTGGGTGGCTCAGTCGTTAAGCATCTGCCTTCGGCTCAGGTCATGATCCCAGGGTCCTGGGATCAAGCCCCATAAGCGGGCTCCCTGCTTGGCGGGAAGCCTGCTTCTCCCTCTCCCGCTCCCCCGCTTGTGTTCCCTCTCTCTGTGTGTCTCTCTCTGTCAAATAAATAAAATCTCTTTAAACAAAACAAAACAAAACCACTACAACAGGAAATTAAAGAAAAAGGTAGTTTCAAAGGCACCTTATAAAATGTAAAGCTTTATGTATACACAAAATATTTTTTTAAAATTGTGATACAGCATATGGTCAGGGTTACTGTGGGCCCACCCCATGAAGTCTTTCTAGCAGAGCATGGGCCGCTAGCATGGTGAACAACCTGCCCAACTGTACATGGTGAATCTTTGAGGTATGGGGCAAGGTAACAACAGATTTGAGGTCACAAAACCTGGGGTCTAGTTCCAGTTCTGCCCCTATTAGCTTTGTAGCATTAAGCACATCATTTTACCTCTCTGAACTTCGATTTCTGCATCCATGAAACTTAAATATTAATTGTGCTATTACCTTTACCACAGCATTATGAAGTTTAAGTGAAGTAAGATACTATATGTTATTTTACAGATGAAGAAAGACTTGTAATGTGTGTGTGTGTGTGATCTATAAACTATAACTGGTTTTTGCCTTTTGTTCTTATTTTCTTTTGGGGGGGGATGTTAACAATGGGCACATTTCCCTTAGTTTTCTAGTATAGTGGACCAGTCATTACCCACCTAGCACCCATTTCCCTTCTTCCTTTTCCTTCCCAAAGGGCCCTGCTTTTCTTGGGTCCAGGGGTAGGCTTGTGTATCTACCTCCCAGCACTGGAAGGTAAGGACGCTGCAGCCTCATATCTAATGAGGGTGTATATACCCCATGGGCAGAGATGAATGTGCAGCCCTTACCAGCTTTGGGACTGTGATTTTGCAGGGTAGATAACAGAAGATCTGCATAGTCTGGGCTTTGCTTGCCCTTCATTCAACAAAGAATGACAAACAGGGTTTGGGTGTGAGCTCATAGAAAGGAAAAGAAAGGAACATATTTGAGGGGGTGTCAAGAATTTTAATCTGACCACAGTTAACTTTGAGATACTCATTTGAAATCCATGGAAAGACATCTCGAAAGCAGTTAAGACCATGGAGTTCATCCTTCTGTTCTCTTTATTTTCTATAGATTCGAATTTTTCCATAATAAAAGGAAAAAAGAAAGAAAAGAAGAGAAAAAAGAAAAATGAAAAGGAAAGGAAAGAAAGAATTATGGTATATGAGCCTGGAACCCCAGGAAGAGGCTGGGTTCGAGGTATAAACTTGGAGGCGGTCTGAGTACACTTGGGGTTAAAGTCATGGGCCTGGACGAAGACCAACGTCCCCTGAGAGAATCAAAGAACTAATCTCTGGGAACCCTGATATTTAAAAGCCAAGAAGATGAGAGGTAGAGGGATATAGGACATGAAAGGATGTGTCCTGAAAGACAGGTGATGAAGCATTTTTAAGGAGGGGATGATCAACGGCGTCCTTTGACTAAGATGAGGGCTGGGGATTGACAGTGACCTTGGTAAGCTGGTGGCTGTGATTTCAGTGCAGTAGTGGGAGCAAAGTCTGGATCGGATGGGGGTGAAGAGACCAATGGGTGTGTGTGTGTGTGTGAAATGAAGAAGACAGACACAGATAACACCATTGATGGGCTTCTGCTCTGAAGAGAATGGGAGTGGTAGGTAGGAGAGCACTTTGCTTGTTTGTGTTGCAAGAGAAAAGATATTACTGGGTGTCTTTATGCTGATGGGAATGATGGGGGGCGGGGGGGCAAACATGATGAGCAGTGCTGATAGGAGAGAGAGGGTTAATTGCAGGGGCAACGTAAGTAGGGAAGAGTATCCAGGCAGAGAAGAGCCAGAGAGGGAGACAGTCTCTCTCCCTTCGCACAGCTCATGTCTGTGTATGAGCCCGGGATCACCAGGGCCCTTTGCAGCCAGTCTGAGCATGAAGTCTGTGCTAAACATGATGGAATGAATAGACAGAAAGAACCTAAATTTTCTGACACTGTGGGGTCGCTGGACCACTAACCTACTGTAGCCTGTCCTGCCCCTGGACTTGCTCTTACGGGAGATAATAAACTCTCTCATTGTGTAAGCCTGTTCAAGTCAGGCAGTGGTAGTTGCTTTTAACTTAATTGTTAAATAATTTTACTTTCAGAAATTTTCAAGAATAGTAAAGAAAACACACGTAAACTTTACCTAGAGTCCCCAGCTTCTAACACTTTGCCATGTTTGTTTTCTTTTAATCTTTTTTAAAAAGATTTGTTTATTTATTTGAGAGAGACAGAGGAAGAGAGAGCAAAAGTGGGGTGGGTAGAGGGAGAAGGAGAGAGAATCTCAAGCAGACTCCCTGCTGAGTGTGGAGCCCAACCCGGCGCTCAGTCTCATGACCCTGAGATCATGACCGGAGCTGAAACCAAGAGTGGGATGCTTAACCTACTGAGCCACCCAGGTGTCCCTGCTGCTTTTGTTTTCTAATCTTCCCTTTATACACACAAAACCTTTTTTTTTCCTGATCCATTGAGAGTAGACTACATGTCTCATGTCCCTTTATTATCTATACTCCTTCAGTGCATTTCTTAAGAACAAGGATAGCCTCTTACGCAATCACTGTCCAGTTATCAAATCCAGGAGAGTATACTGATACAATAATTTTATTTAATTCACAGTCCATATTCTAATTTTGTCCACAGTCTCAATGCTATTTGTTTTTCCCAGCACAGGATCTAATCCAGAATGACATATTACATTTCATTGCCATCACTATTCAGTCTCCTTTAATCTGTAACCATTTCTCAGCCTTTTGGTATTTTTTTGTTTTTTTGTTTTTTTAAGATCTTTATTTATTTATTTGACAGACAGAGACACAGCGAGAGAGGGAACACAAGCAGGGGGAGCAGGAGAGGGAGAAGCAGGCTCCTGGCTGAGCAGAGAGCCCGATGCGGGGCTCAATCCCAGGACCCTGAGATCATGACCTGAGCAGAAGGCAGACGCTTAACAACTGAGCCACCCAGGCACCCCTTTTGGTGGGTTTTTTTGTCTTGTTTTGGTCTTTCATGATCTCATGACCCTTTTTAACAGGCCATTTATTCAGTTATTTTACTTTAGAAAATGTTCCTCAACTTGGTTTGTTTGATGTTTCCTCATTTTTAGTTTCAGGTTACACATTTTTTTTTCAAACTAGATTTTTTTAGATTGATTGATTTATAAGTCATCTCTATACCCAGCATGGGCTTGAACTCACAACCCCAAGATCAAGAGTCACATGGTCTTCTGACTGAGCCAGCCAGGGGCCCCATATTTCACAAATCTTTGACCTGAATGTTACATAAATGACATGTTGTCCTTCTCCCAGATACCACAATGGAAGATACATGGTATCTTTTCACCTCACAGTGAAATGTTAGTTTTGATCCCTTGGTGAGGGAGTTGTCTGGTTTCTGTACCGTATGGTTATTATTAACCCTTTTGTAATTAATAAGTAATTTGTGGGGACATAGTTTGAGACCGCATAAAAATCCTGTTCCTTATGAAGCCCCCCTCCCCCTGCAATTTAGCATCCACTGATCACTCTTGTCTGAACCAATTTTATTGTGATGGGGCGTGTTTTGGTTTCTTGTGGCCCAAAACCTTCTAACCAACAGATCTTAGAAAATGTTTAGTATGGGGGCGCCTGGGTGGCTCAGTCGTTAAGCGTCTGTCTTCAGCTCAGGTCATGATCCCAGGGTCCTGGGATAGAGCCCTGCATCACGCTCCCTGCTCCACGGGAAGCCTGCTTCTTCCTCTCCCTTGTGTTCCTTCTCTCGCTTTGTCTCTCCCTGCCCAATAAATAAATAAAATCTAAAAAAAAAGAAAGAAAGAAAATGTTTGGTATGAAAAATACAACCTTGTCCTTTTGAAGTAAAGAGAAAGGACATGTTTGCACCCTAAGTTGGGCTGGGGGGGGCCAGCCCTCCACATAGGCAGCCGCAGGAAGGTGTCAGTTCCTCGGCAGGCCTGGGACCCTCTGGTGGATAGGACCCTTGCCAAGGTCTTTTCTTTATAAGATTTCTTGCAACTTTTCTTATTCTAGCCCAGACTTTTTGCCCAGCTCTTTGTCTACATTTCTAACAACCTCCTGGATGTTTCCATTTGGATGCCCTGTCATCACCTCAAATTCAATGTGACCAAAAGTCACTTCTTGCCTTCCATCACTGTCATCATAATTATCCCAGTCGCCTGGGCTGGAGCCTCAGAGTCATCTTTGGTGTTTGATGTGTCCTTCTCCCTAGGCACTGTCCGTCCGTCGTCTCCTCCCTGTTGCCTGGTCCCTCCTGCATCTCTCGCAGCCTCGTGCATCTCCTTCCCACCTATACTGCCCTCCCTTGGCCCAGACCCTCTTGGTACCCCATCTAAATTGCTGTCCAGATTGGCTCTGCCCCCAGACCTTGCCCGATCTAACCCATCCTGCACACGCTCATGCCAGATGAATCACTCCAAAATGCGCGTTCACACAGCCCCCGCCATTCTAAGAATCTTTCAACGATTCCCCATTACCTATGGAACTGGAGCTTTCCCAGTCTGATTTCAACAACCTTTGTAAATTTACATTCCACAAGAAGAGCCTGCCTAGCCAGGCTAGTCTACGTATAAACTTCCTGAACAAAGCCGCCTCCATGCCCTTCCTCTCTCCCTATCCAGACTGTATCCACCCTTTAAGATTCAGCTTTTCTCCTTAGGCATGCCTGGCTGGCTCAGTTGGGAGAGCATGCAACCTTTGATCATGAGTTCAAGCCCCATGTTGGGTGTAAAGCCTTCTTAAAATTGGAGAAAAAATAAAAGGATGCAGCATTAATCCCAACTTCACATCAGCTCACATGATTCTTTGCTCTGAAATCCTATAGTATCTGCTGCTTATAACACCCACATTTATTTCTTGCTTACTTATTAACTTGCAACGTCTTTGCTCTACCACGGTGATTAAGAATGTGAGCTCTGGGGGCGCCTGGGTGGCTCAGTCAGTTAAGTGTCTGCCTTCAGCTCTGGTCGTGATCTCAGCATCCTGGGATCGAGCCCCGCATCGAGCTCCCTGCTCAGCAGGGAGCCTGCTTCTCCCTCTCCCACTCCCCCTGCTTGTGTTCCTTCTCTTGCTGTGTCTCTCTCTGTCAAATAAATAAATAAAATCTTAAAAAAAAAAAAAAGTTGGGAACAATCCCAAATGTCCATCAACAGATGGACAGATAAACCAAATGTGGTGTTACATACACTGGAATACTATTCAGCCTTTAAAAGGCCTGGAATTCTCACACCTGCTGTAACATGGATGAACCTTGAAAATATTATGCTAAATGAACGAAGCCAGCCTAAAAGCACAAGTATCGTATGATTCGTCTTATATGAGGTACCTAGAATAGTCCAGATCGTAGAGACAGAGAGTAGAATAGAGATTACAAGGGGCTGGGGGCAGGAGAAATGGGCAGTTACTGGGTTAGAGGTTTTGTCTGGGATGATAAAAAAGACTTGGGGAAATGAATGGTGGTGACAGTCGCACAACATTGTGAATGTACTTCATGCCATTAATCGCACACTTAAAAATGGTTAAAATGGTACATTTTATGTTATGTGTATTTTACCACAATTTAAACCCTCCTTCCGGAAAAGTGCTTAGAACAATACTCGGCATACAGTAAGCGCTCAATAGTTGCTGCTACTGTTATCATCTCTCAAATTAGCATCTTCGCTAAAGCTTTACAGATATTGAAGGCAGAATGTGGCAGTAATTTGGGGATCATTGTGGCTCTAGGCTGGACCACACAGATCTGGAAGCATGATTTGTCAGTGCATCTGGAGTTCACCAGGCTCAAGAGAACCCACTCATATTGACCTGTGCGAGTTAAATTCCCTGGAATTTGATCAACCAGGTCTCCAAACGCCCATTCTCAGAAAGCCTCCTGGAAAACAGACTGTTGTTGAAAGATTCCTTGGAGTGTGGAATCAGGCCAGGGGCCAGGGGATTTCAGCCACTGTTGGTGCTGGGGACTGGCCACTCAGGTTTCCCTCGCCTCTGTGGGGATGGCTTTTGCTGCCTGGCATACTGCTCAGGGCACCCTCTCCCTGGGAACTGTCACCAGGGGTCACACCAACTAGCACTTGCTCTTCAACTTGCTGGTTTCCAAATTGCAGGTGGATTCCTCCATGCCCACACTCGAAGAGGACATCCTGTCCTTAGCCAAGTTACAAAACCATTAATTCACTGATACGCCCTTTTAGTTCTAGATCTGACTGTACGCCTTTGAATGGTTTGGCGGGGTTCCTCAGTCTCTGATGGTGGCATATGACAAACCTACTTCAAGGGGGAATACTTTTACCTCTAGCTGAATGGGTTGATTTTCATTTCTCCAGGAAGTTAACCATCTCTAAGTTCCGAGGGTACACCACGGGCTGCCTACCATCTTCCTTTACTGGTCATAGCTCCTATTATTACTTGGTGTGTCATTTCATTCGTTCATTCATTCAACAAGCTTTACTGAGCAGCTGCTGTGGGTCAGGCATTATGCTAGGCATTGGGGATACAACAGAGGACAAAATGAACGGCTGCCCTCCAGAGTGTACAACTTAGTGGACAGAAGATGACCATAAGGCAGTGAGATTATTTTTGTTTTGAGACTGGTATTTCTGACAAACATGCAGAACTGAGATTTCTAAAGGAGTCCTTTAAAAGGGTCATCACCACAGGAGATGGCCCCCCTTCCCACCCTTCTAACAAGGCTGCCACTGATCGGAAGGTTTTGTTTGGAGGCGCCTGGGTGGCTCAGTCGGTTAAGTGGCTGACTCTTGGTTTTGGCTCAGGTCATGATTGCAGGGTCCTGGGATGGAGCCCCGTGTAGGACTCTGTGCTCAGCGGGGAGTCTGCTTGAGATTCTCTCTCTCTCCCCCTCTGCCCTACCCCTGCTCAAGCTCTCTCTCTCAAATAAATAAATAAGTCTTTTTTTTTTTTTTTTTCTAAAGAGGCTTTGTGTGGTTCGGCTTGGTTTTTCAGCTTTTCATAAGGAATAGCTTTTAGAGCCTTTGGAACATTCTTTGAATAACCTCAGTGGTGGCAAAGCCGTGAGTGATGTGCAGCGGATCTGGCTTTCAGAAATAGTTAGAAGACATTCATTGTGAAGTCTGGCAGATAATTGGTACGATGAAGCTGGGTAATAACACTGTGGGTAGAAAGATAAAAAAATAAGTGTGACTCTCTGGAGACTGCTTCTTGTCATGCTCAAAAACGGTCTCTGGAAGCCACTCCAAAACTGGAAAGCCAAACCACAACAGCATCACCATGTGGCCTTCAGAGGTGAAAAGGGCAACACTCCCTCGGAGGTGAAGTTGCAGAGAACGGCTGGGTTGTTGGGCTCCACAACCCTTTTATTCCTTGTGAACTGGAGAGCTTCTGGTTTTTATTTTTGTATAAAGTGCAGTCTTATTCGTAGTTTTGAACTCCCAGGAGGAGGAGGGGGCCTAAGGCAACATCTTGCCAACCCCCAGTCTGCAGGTCATGATCTCAGGGTCGTGAGATCGAGCCCTGTGTTGGGCTCCGAGCTCAGCATGGAGTGTGCTTGAGATTCTCTCTCTCCTTCTCCCTCTGCCCCTCCCCCTGCTCTCTCTCTCTCTCTCTCACCAACCCCCAGTCTGTGCCAACCACCAAGGACAGTTTAGCCCCACGATGATGGTCCAGCCTCCGGTACCCGCGTCTGGATTCAAACCCCAGCTCTGTCCCTCACTAGCTGTGACCTAGGTCTCTCTCTGCCTCAGTGTCTTCATCTTTAGAATGGGAATAATAATTATGATTACCTTGTAACTGCTGCAAAGGATAGCTGTGAAAATCAAATGAGTTAGGGCATTGGAAGGCCTTGAGAACAGGGCCCGGCACACGGTCAAGCTCAG